CTTGATTAGGAGGCGCTAAACTTCCACTAAGAAGCAGAACCATGTGGCTTCGGTGCCTGAGGTTCCTGACTCCCTTTTGCCTTTTCCCTCATCCACTGCCTCAAGGCCTGTCCCCCAGCCAGGACCCTGTGTCCTCCTATTCCTCCACAAAGGCCTTCTCTCAAACCTCTCTTTCTCGACCTCAAGGGAAGGAGGGCGGCCCAAGGCAGGAATAGAAAAACAACAACAGAAGAATAAGAACCCATGAGAAAGCAGAATAAGAGACGAGCCTTGCAGGCACTGTGGCTCAGGATATGGGCTAGAATGGCTTTGGGGGCCAGCCTGGAGGCAACAAGCAGAAAACAGGAATGCAAGATGACTTTGGGGTTGCTATCCAGAATTCTGTCTCCTTTCTCTCTCTCCTTTCCCTCAGGCCATCCTCTGATTCCCTGCCTCCATGACCCTACACCTGGCAGTATGGTGTGAAGAGGACCTGTGTCCTCTTCTACATTCGTCGCCGTCTACATTCCCTAACAAACAGCAACACGTTAGTCAGGCTGCAGAGGTAGGAGAAGGGAACACCATACTTGTATCTGCTTGAAAACTGGAGAATACCAGAGAGCTGAATCCCTGGAGTTAATCTTCTTGCGTGCTACTGAATTTGGGTTGCCATTTGTCACCTGTCAAGCCAGGCTAATCCATGGGAAAGGTACTTTACTTTTCTTGCCCCCAAGTCTCACTCCTGCCTGCAACACCCCGTCCCAGAATATCCTGATATGCAGGCTATGAAGCACGGGAAAGACATGGAAGGGAGTCTCTCCAGAGAAGGGAGGAGAGGTTCCTGACAGAGAATGCATATATTGTCTCCATCCCAGACACACTCTCACCTGAGAATTGGGACCTCAATTCTCAACACTCTTTGATTTGTCATTTCCTCCCATGTCTGCTGAGCTTTAAAGGGACCATCTCAAAAGCCTAGTAGTGGCGGAAATACACCCACTTAGATATACATACGTATAAAGATACCTACTTAGTGAACACCTGGATATATCTTAGGGCTCCACAGTCAGATGTGTGTGCAAATACGCACACACGTTTAGAAAGACATCGAGATAAGATTAAGAAGATTCCAGTGTGCATCTTCAGGGAGGTTTTCCCTTAAGACAATGAAAACGCCCCCTCCCTCATTTTTACTGCATTTCCTCTTGTCCCAGTGAGGTCTGAGAGCACCCTTTCCTAGGTGGATCCGCCCTTCCCAGGCTAAATGATGATTTAATCAGAGCTTTCAGTCCCAATTTCCAGGACTTTCCTTATTTTCCTCCTTTCTCTGGAGACTGTGTAGCAATCAAACTCTTGTATCTTGAGAGAGCAGAGTTGACTTAATATCTGCTATTTAACAAATGCAAAAACAAAGGCACAGCAGGAAGCAGACACCAGAATCTTTGGGTGTTCCCCTGGTCCCTTCTGGCCTGAAAGTGGGGGTACTGCCCCCAGCAGCTCACAGAAGGCACTGTCAACCTTTGCTGTACCTTGCTGGACCAGCCCAAATGGACCTCTCACCTCTCTCAATACCTAATACGAGATGGTTAGACAGCCACAGCATTATAGGGTGCCTATGACAGCCAGAGAAACCCACCATCCATTCAGCAAACACATATGGGTGCTTTCTCTGTTCCAAACACCTCCTCCATACCATGGAATACTATGCAGCTATCAGGAAGAATGTGCCAGCTCCATATGATGCATGTGGAAGCCAAGATAGAGGAAACGGGCACAGCAAGGTGCTGTATAGTATATGCTCCTTCTGAGGTTATATATAAAAAAAGAATATACCATTATAACTATGTTTGTATACCCATAGAACATGTCTGGAAGGATACAAAAGAAAATAGTAACAGTATTGCATGTGCTGAGAGGAATGAAGTGGCTGAGGACAGGGTGGGAAGGAGACTTCTTCTCACAGTGTCCTCTTTTGTACCTTTTAATTGTTGTTCCACATATCTATGTTATCTATGGAAAATGACAATTGAAAGAAGACCCCCTTCCCCTTAAGGAGCTAGGGGGGCAGGCAGACATGATAACGATTACAATATACTATGCTCATTGTTGTCATTGAGACGAGTCAGAGTGGAAGGGACTACAGGAGACAGGCCATCCAAGGGAGCTTGGTTGGGGGTGTTGGAATCATTATAGCAAATGCTGGAAGCTCTCTCAGTTCAGTGTAGCCAGGGCCTAAAAAGTACAGTGAGAAAGGGTCGGTGGTAAGAGCTGCGGGAACAGGCAGAGACCAGAACGCAAACAACTGTGTGTGCCAAATTAAGGAGTTGCAATTTTTATCCTCATAGGAAATGGGCAGCTGTTACAGAATTTTCAGCAGGGGAGTGACCTGTTCAGATTTACTGTTTAGAGAGAGGACTCTGGCAGGAATGTGGAAGGTTAGATTAAGAGGGGCGAGGACGGGATGGGGCGACTGGTTAGGAGGCTAATGTAAGATTCTAGGTAAGGGAAGGTGGATGGATGGCTTGTGGCAGAGGGAGCAGGGATGGAGGAGAGGGGATGAAACCTGAGACATTCGATGGGTCCTCAGTGTGTATGGAGACCACGTACAGCTCCAGCTCTTGTGCTCTTCATTTTCTCATGTTAGCATCCTCTGCACATTCATTGACACAAACACCCCTAGCAGCTGGCAGGATGGGTCCGGAGGGGCCACTTCTGGTGGGCCTGCCTGCTTCCTTGCCCCAGACTCTAGCTCCTTAGCAAAGAGAGACAGAGGAAAGAAAACAGAAGCCTCTACTTTGTTGTCTTTCCATTTAACTCCTAGGTCTCTTATTTCTCTCTCTCTCTCTCTCTTCCTCTCCTTCTCTCGATTTGGATCCCCTCATTATTTCTGAACTGTAGAGCTTGCTGCTTCCTTGGCTGGGCTCTCCCACCCACATCTGTGAAGTGTCAATCAAGCCATCAGATGAGCAGTTCAGCCTCGCATCCTCGTTGACTCTGCTCCAGGACACAAGCCACAATTGCTGACACACAGCAGCATGAGGTAGGGCTATTGGCTCTCCCTTTCATAGTCTTTCGATCCAGAATGGGTGTTAAAATGGAATTTGAGGGGATAGCTTCTCTCTGCCTGCCCCTGTCAGGACAGCCACAAGGACAGGCAACCCTGAGAGAGAGAGAGAGAGAGAGAGACAGAGAGAGAGAGAGGGAAGGGAAACCATCAAAAGTCAATTTGCTTTTCATTTCAAGGTTGGGCCATGGCCAGTATCTGCTTTCGGAGGAGCCGTTTGAAATTCTTAACAAGCAGCATGATGCCTGAGTCCAGGAATCCAGGGCAGGCTTGTGAAGTAGGGATGGGGAAATGGAATTGTCATTTTATCTCTGAAGGGATATTATATTAAACAAAGGAGGGAGGGGGGCGATGCACCGCTTTGTAGCTTCCCTGGAGGACGAACAATAAGAAATATCAGGGGCAGCAGGAAGAACTGAGATTAGAACAAAGAAAAACTTGCCCAGGCTCGGGAACCAGTGACCAGAGAGATCTAAAGCATCTGCAGCCCCAGGGGATTTCTCCTTCTTTTATAAATTGTCAATGGAAGTGCAATTTTTATAGAATATGGAAACTAATGAGCATTAAGCTCAATTACCTCGCCAAATTCTCTTTAGACCTTCGGTAACACACGAACATAACTGGTGGTTGTGATCCATGTGTCTATTTGTGTTCTGTTTCTCTTCCTCAGTGTGATTTCATGTACTCATTTCTGTGGAGCCCACAATCGTCACACTTGTCATTTTGAATCGCTACATACAGTAATACCTTGGTTTGCGAGCATAATTCTTTCTGGAAACAAGCTACTCGTATTGCAAGACATCGCTCGTTTACCAAGTTAAAATGTATTAGAAATGTTCGCTCGTCTTGCAGGACACTCGCAAACTATGTTATTTGCAATCCAAGGTTTTACTGTAGTATTCGATTGTGTCAACGTGCCAGAGTTTGTTCAGCTACTTCCTGTGCCTGGGCCATTTCTGATTTTTTTTTTTAATATTATAAGAGCACAGCTATGAATGTCTTCATACAAATGCTTTTTTCTCCTCTTGGGTATTTCCTTGGAGTATAGATCCCCAAGCCAAATTTCTAGGTCAGAAGGTTTGATTTTACTGTCCTTGCGCACTGCCCTAGGAATCTCCAGAAGGCCCAGATGATCTAAGTTGCCACCTTACTCTCCACCCCCACAGCACTGACAACATCAGATTTTTATCATTTTTATTTATTTTTGCTCATTTCCTAGGCACATAGCATGCCTTGAAGTTATTTAATTCCTGTTTCTTTCATGGCTAGTGAGATTGGGCACACTTCCATGTGAGGATTTACTATCTGCTTTTCCTTGTGTGTAAACTGTTTATCTCCTCTGATATCTTATCAAGAGAAATCCAGGGGCTAACCTTATATATTTATATCAAGCCTTTATATACTTAAAGAGTACATTTTTCTCCATTATGTTTGCCATTTTTTACCCTACGGGAGCTGTCCAACTGTGAGGCAGATGCTATCTCGTCCCATGTGGGTTAGGAGTGAAGTGGAACTGAGATGACTTTTGGATTCTAGAGTGATGTGTTTTTTTAAAAATAAAAATTTTAAAAAGCCAGTTCTATGGCAACTCCCTATCTGGGCCCCTATATTCCTAGGCAAGGAAGGGCTGGGTTGAGAGGACAGGTCATTTGTCAAGGTCACTCTGGGAGATTCTTTGCTGGGAGCAGGCCACTGCACTGAGGCTGGGTAGCACCCTGTGGTCACATGGATTTCCCTGTCCATTATTTTTCCCCACTCACAGTCTGAGAGCAACAGCAAAGTATTCAAATCAGAATCATCGTTACAAGTTCTGACGATTCCTCAGGATAGCGCAGTGGTTAAGGGAACAGGCTCTGGAGCAGACAAACCTGGGTTCACATCTCAGTGCCTATGTTTAGCAGGTGGATGGCATTGGGTGAGTTATAACCTCTATAAGACTTGGCTGTCAGATGGTTATTTCAGTTATGGCTGCATAAAAAAACGACCCCGAAACTTAGTAGCTAAAAACAACGATCGTTGTATTCTATCTCACAATTGTGTAGTCCAGGAATTCAGACGGGGTTTGGCTGGATGATTCTTTTGTTCCATGTGGCATAAACTGGGTCACTCAGTGGTATTGAGCTGGTGGCTAGGCTGGGCTGGGGGTCCAAGATGGTTTCCCTCTCATGTCTGGCTCTCCATGTAGTCTCAGGGCTTCCCCATGTGGTCTCTTTCACAGGGTGGCTGGACTTCTAACATGGAGGCCCAGGGCTCCAACAGTAGTAAATGCTCCAAGACAAGAAGAAGAAGCTTTCAGTCTCTTAAGTCCTGGGCCAGAAGGTGTCCCATTGTGACTTCCACCATACTCTATTGGTCAAGCAGTCACAGAGCCTGTAATAGGAGGAGTGACAAAGAATTTGGGGCCATCTTTAACATGTCAAAGTGGGGATAAAAATACTTACGCCTAGGGCTATAAGGATGAAAGAAAGACGGTGTATGTAGAGGCAGTTTTACAAAAAGCTAATGCAACTTCAACCACGGGGCTCCTTAATTGCATGGTGTCCTCCAAGTCCTAGCACCTAATTTTGTATTCATAATTTTTCTTTTCCTTTTCTTAAAGAGGACTCTCATATTGTATAAGAATCAGGCCCTACCATTCCTGGCTCTGTCCGAATGGATGTGGAAGTATTTATTTAGCATGCTGCCTGACCTGGAGGGAGCGCTCACTACAGGGACCCTTGTGACCTAGGCTGGTGCCTAGAAAGTCTGTGCCTCCGGAGAAGGCTCCTCTCATTCTGTCCTTTCCATTTGTTCAGGATCATTTCTTCTTCTCCTTTAAAAAAAAATAAAGTAAAACATGCTGAGAATAATTTCATAATCACAAAACTGCCCTCTCAGGTGGCCCCTGTGTCTGTCTACCCCCTGACCTCACCACCCACCAGGGAGGTGGACCTTATCCTGAGTATAAATAATGCCAAGTTTTTAGCTCGGCCCTCTAGAATCTCCAAAGAAAATCAGGCTGAAGAGAGGGAAGCCAGTAGGGAGAGGCAGCATTCCTGGTGCCCAGCTTGGTCTAGGAGGCATTGAAATTCTAGGGCCGAAGTCCCAGAGACAAAGATCATAATGAGACAGGAAGGTAGCATAGGAAGGAGCCCATTTGCATGACAATAATTGAGCCAAGAATAGAAAACTAGAGGGATGCAAGGGTGAGCCTGGCAGCTGAGCTGGGCTAAACCTCACAAATCAAGCTACCCAGCTCGCTCTGCAGAGGAGGCGGGAGCTGAGCCCTGTGCCAGGCCTTGGGGGAGGACAGAACAGAAAGAAGGACATGGCCCCAGGGGATTGTGGGAATGCTGGCCAAGCTGAACTTTGTCCTACTCCTCCTCCTTCAGCCCAGAGATTACTTTGCTTGCCTTCTCCTTTGTGTGTGGGCTCTGTGGCTATAGGGCTGACTCAGTGGGCATCATGGCTGCTCAGAAAGATCTCTATGATGCCATTGTGATCGGGGCAGGCATCCAGGGCTGCTTCACTGCATACCACCTGGCCAAACACGGGAAGAGGGTCCTCCTGCTGGAACAGGTACTGTGTCTCCTCTGCATTCCTGACCTTAGGGACTGTCTGTCTCTCCTTCCCTAGAGAGGGGAGGGGTTCCCGAACTGGTAGGCTAGAGGGGTGAGGCCAAAGGACCGGACCATCAAAAATTCTGTGCAACATGTAGCTTAGCTGCACAGTGTACTTCATGACAATGAAAAGAAAGTTCTACCCTCCCTAAGACCAATATTGAGTTCCTAGGCATATTTCTTCCTTCTACTGCTCCCAGTTCCTTGACCAAGAAATGTTCTTGACCAAGAAATGTTCCAGGCCCTGTTCTCTTTCTTCTTGCAGCTCACTTTCTTTGGTGCCAAAATGGTTGATCTGGCCCATAAAAAAAGTCAGTTCTGCTTTGGGTAACCTTAAGTAAAGACAATTTTGCCTAGAGGCAAAGCCTGATTAGTCAGCTTCAAAGGTGGGATTCTTTCCTACATATTCCTGGACTCTCACCCCGGAACCCAACAGAAGCTTCTGTTTTATCTGCCACCAGATAATTGCAGCCTCTTTATTTGATACACAGGAAATAAGACTTAGTTCTTATTTTTCCTTGTAGAAAAGGTAACCCCATGCAATGCAGTCTACTGTGACTCCTGCACAGTAGGAAGGACCCTACACCTACAGGGTCCTTCCCAAGACAGGTCTACTCAGCCCACCTTCCAAAGGTTTCTCCCTCCCATGCTTCCTACAGCTATCCAGGCTCGGTTTGGTTTCTTCTTCTTGGTGGTGTGCTGGATTGGTTAGAAACCTTTTTATCTAACAGTTTTCTCAAAGCCCGAGGGATTCTTGGTTTAACCCTGCAAGAAACTCCACTTTTGCTAAATCCCAAGTGGTTTCCTTGTCCTAAGTGATCTGAAACCACAGAGAAATAGTCAGCATCAGTTTCCTTGTCCATAAAATGAGGGGCTAGACTAGAACAGGGGTCACAAACTGCGGCTCGTGAGCCACATGAGGCTGTATGGGTACGTTCCGTCTCAAAAATTTGCCGACCCCTAGAAGAGCCAATCCTGTCCCTCACAACAATTTAAAAATTATTGGAGAGTCATAAATATACTTTTACATAATCATCATTATGTGAATAATATCCTTTAAAAATTTTATAAATGAAACTATGAGAGTTTTATTTTCATTTTCAATTTTATTTCAGAGCCACATGTACGTACCCAAAGAGCTGCATGTGGCTCGCGTGTCGCAGTTTGCTGGCCCCTGGCGGCTCTTCCATCTCAAAAGTTTGCTGTCCCCTGAACTAGAATGATCTCAAAGGTTCTTTCGAATTCTGCTTCTCAATGAGTCTAAGTGGGATGGGGTTAGCAGCAGGGTGACTGAAGATAAGCTAACAGAGGGACATTGGAATGTGAATGATGTTAGCAAAAAAGGAAGCTGAGTTAGTGCTACTGAAGAACTTCTCTTCTGCTAGCCAGATCAGAAACTTGGTCATTAAGGGAGAACTTGTGGAAACATGTGAAGAATAAGTGCTCTTGGGGCCGGCCGAGTGGCGCGTTGGTTAAGAGCTGGCTTGGGACGCCAGAGGGCCCTGGTTCGGATCCCTTATATGAGGGCCAGTGACACTGCCCTCTACAGCTAAGATGCTGAACATGAGTTGCCGGCGACGGCGTAGGCTGCAGCCCCTGCTGCAGTGGGTTGCCATGGGCTACTGTGTATAGCCAGCAGTCAGCGTGAGCGGCCAGCAGCCGCCATGAGCGGCCGTCCAGAAGCTGGCGACTGATCTGCCTCACCTGGGAAGAGCGCAATGATGGTGCCAACTTGGGCCAGTGAAGCAACGTCCTCCACAACTAGACTGAAGAACAAAAGGACAGCAACTTGTCTGTTCCCCTTCCCCCAATTCCCCAGCACTGTTCCCATCCCCCCAATTCCCCAATAAAAATCTAAAAAAAAAAAAAGTGCTCTTGGTTGACAGCACATGATGAACTGTTTCCTAAAGGGGGGGGGCAGGCAGGCATTGCAAGGGGTAACAGCTTGTGTTGTCCCTCTTGTTCTCCACTTCCAGTTCTTCCTACCACATTCCCGAGGAAGCTCCCATGGGCAGAGCCGGATAATCCGAAGGGCATACCCTGAAGAGTTTTATACCCGGATGATGGATGAGTGCTACCAGATATGGGCTCAGCTAGAGCAGGAGGCTGGAACCCAATTACACAGGTTGGAGTGGGGGAGGAATTTCTTAAATCATGAGGCCTGGCATCTGAAGGTGCTTGTAGTAGGTGAGGGGGCAGTGCCACAAACACTTGAAATGCAATGGAGGGACACAGGGCCAAAGGAAGTGCCAGACACATAGAAGTATTCTGCTCACTGTCATTATAATCACCCCACAGGTCCAGCTGGCTCCTACCAGGCTCTGAGTTCCAGGACTGGGTTCAGACCATGTGTCCAAGGCTAGAAGAGGTTGTATCTATATCTCTGTGGAGCCATCTGAAATTGTTTTTGGGCAGGGATTGATATATTATAGAAAAGGAGGTTGCTGGTATCATAACCTTTCATGCTGGGTGCGGCTCCCAACTCCCAGAGTGACCTCTATAAATCCATTTCATTCTCTCCGAATACCTCCTCCTATAGGAACAAAATAGGGGTGTTCCTCAGAGCCCATTACTTGCCAGGGAGTCAGCTTGCAGCGCTTTCCCTGTTGCCTCCCGCCCCTCAATGGCTTTCTCTAACCCATAAGACCCCCTCCTCACTGACCTTTCAAACACTCAGGGAAGAAGGCAGACAACTGTAATGCAAAGAGAACTTGAACCACCCACCCCACGTCCCTTCCCACCTTCTCTGTGGCTCTTAACTGAACTTTCTACAAAACTCCAGCTCTACCCTACAGGGTGGCAGTTATTTTAATGGCCAGGAACCAAGAGGTTACTGTTCTGTTGCAAAAACACCATTAACTTAAGAACAAAATGAAATCCATTATGCAAATAAAGCGAGGGCAGCTAATTACAGATTTATTCCAGAGGCAGCTAATGCACCCAGCACCCAAATAAAAGCATGTCTTGCTGAGGTGTGGCCTGGCAAAGGGACCCCTCTCTGTCAGCCATCTGTGAATACTGCTGAGTATCTTGTTCTCAGAGAACTGCTGAGGCCTTGGAGGGCACACTTCTTCCCAGCAGCCAAGAAGGTGACTAAAAGAGATGTTAGAAGAGTGTTTGGAGTCTTCAGTTGGAAGACTGAATTTGCCTTTGTGCTCTACCTCTTACCAGCTGTGTGACCTTGGAAAATTTCTGTACCTCTCTGGTGTCTTTCTCTTTCCCTTTTTTTTTTCTCACAGGGTTTTGTGAGGATTAAACGAGACTTATGAAATGCTTTGCACAGTGCCTACTCCCTTTCAATAAATGGCAGTTCCTTCTACCTATTCTGGGTCAGTTGTGTCCTATCTCCATTGAGCAAGGGAGGAAGAATGGCCGGAGGAGACAGATTTGGAATGCAACAACCATAGACATCAAGGGGAATGGCTGCTGGAGAGGGAGAGAGGGAAAGGGACCCTTGGGAATGAGATTCTCATATGTTTGCAATCTTCCTCTTTGGCAGGGGGACAGGAATTTGGAAGGACTTTGGAACCAGGCAAGCCTGTACATATCAGCTCTGACACATTTAACTGTGTGATTTGGAGCAAATTGTTTAACCTCTGTAAGACTCAGTTTTCTCATTTGTAAAGTAGGTGTAATAATATCTATTTCATGGGGCTATTGTGAGGATAAGTATGTAAAGGGCTTAGAATAGTTAGTACCTGACAAATCATCACCATCATCATCATCATTATCATCACCATCATTTAATTATCATCATCATCATTACCACATGTTTAGTGCTTATAGTAAGAAACTAAGGTTGTTTTAAAAGTGCTTGATACATGTTAACTCATAATTCTCTCCACAACCTCATCAGAGGGTTGCTACGGAGTAATCAGAGCTTTAACCTGTTAGTGCAAATCACAGAATCCCTATACTCTTAGTTTAGAGCAGGGCTTGGCAAACTTTTTCTGTAAATGGCCACATAGTAAGTATTATAGGCTTTGCAGGCCATATGGTCTCTGTTGCAACTGTTCAGCTCTGCCAATTACTCAACTCTGCCACTGCAGTGTAAAAGCAGCCACAGATAATATGTAAACAAATGAGTATGGCTGTGTTCCAATAAAACTTTATTTATGGACATGGAAATTTTATATAATTTTCATGTCATGAAATATCCTTTTTTTTGGCTTTTTATCAGCCATTTAAAAATATAAAAACCGTCTTGGCTTGTGCAACAGACAAAAACAAGTGTCAGACCTGATTTAGTCCTTGGGTTGTAGTTTGTTGGTCCCCTGGTTTAAAATATACACAAACTGGTTACTTTGTGTACCCCCTGTCTCCAAATGAGTTCATGGCTAAGTCATCCCAGATCAGAAAACTACTAATACACATTTAAAGACAGGGACATATCTTAGCCCTTCTTAAAAGACCATTCTGATGCCTTACAGCCTCAGTTATGAAAAAGGAAGAGTAAAGCAAATGTGCTTTGAAAAACCTTTAAGTCCTATAGAGTGCTAGTGTTATATAATAATAATAATAATAATAATAATAATAATAATAATAATAGAGTCCTTTCATATGGCTAAGCTAATTTACTCAGGCACACTAATTAATTTGGTTCTTTTACTTAGTAGGGACACAGAACAGATACTGCCCATTCCAATTCCTTTAGATTTTGTTCTTGATTCTGATTTTCTAAATGATTCATCATCTTTGGGGTCCTTATTCTCCCAGGTTCATCTGGAAGAGCCAGCACACTATCATAATGTAACTGATAGATAGGAATGTATTTACTTAATGCTATTTGATGATGATTGAAGAAAAATAACGCCTTCAGGAGTTGGCACTTCAGGTGGTTGTCCAATTCTCTTTATTCTGTTCTGCGGCTTCCTGTGACAGTGGCATACTAAACATGGGTGAGCTCAGGATATTTGCATATATTCTGGGAACAGACTGTGACACATGTGTCAGATCACAAGGTCTGAGTCTTTTGTGATGTGTATAGCCAGGACGCTGATAGCAACAGCAAATCCCAGCTCTGTGGTCCCTCTCTGTCCTGCCCCGCCTTTTCCCTTTGAGTCCTACTATCTAGCTCCTGACCCAGGCTGCCCCTGCTTAGCTGACAATATCAGACAAGATCACAGCCGTAGGCAGTACAGCTGTTGGCAGAACCTGGTGGCCCCCTCCGCAGCTGCTGCTTCCTGTGTCTGCGAAGTGTCTGGCTTGTCAGCCACATCCCCTCCCTGGAGCGGTCTTTGTTAACCAATTCCACCTCGGCCCACTGAGCAGAAGATGAAACGCCAGGAGCTCCTCCAGAACCAACAAAGACAGCAGCCATTACCAAGCCCCTGTTGTCGTCCCTTTCCCAACGTGGCTCTGAGAGCTGGCTTGCCTGGCACTTGGAACCCAGAGAGGGGAAAGCCGGAGCCTGGGATGGGAGATGGAAGATGCAGGGAGAGTTGTCTGACCCTCCCAATTCCTCCCCACTCCGTCCTGCTTCCTGTCCTGCTATATAGCAACTGGTGGAAATCCCTAATGGCGAACTCCCTACATCATGTCTGTGGTTTTATTTGGGCCATAGAGTCAATAAGACCCTTGGGAGGAATTTCTGATTCCTTCTTCCTTAGTGCTGGATCCTGCTAGGATTGGGAGGAAGGCACAATTCATGCCAAATGCTCTGCCCTCAGGTGATGGCGTTCTGGGAGTTAGGAGCTGCATGCTTCCCAGGGTCCCTTGACCACACCACCCAGCCTCACTTCAAGGTGCCTTCTTTCTAGACCAGCCCTGACCCGTCATTTCCCGGGCACTTCTTTTTCCTGCGATGCTGTTGTCCCTGCTCACCCTTCACCTCCCCAAATTCTGTAGCCTAGGCCTGAGCAGAAAAAGAGGAGAGGGAGACCCTGGGCACAGGGGTGAGAAATTGGTGCAGAATGAGCAGTCTGTTTATTGGGATCTAAGAAAAACCATTAAGAAAATAAGCACTTAAATGATTTTCAATCTGCCTATGGAAGTCATCTATCTTCATACTGAGGGGGAAAGACGCATTCTCCGGTCCCGGTTTTGATTGACTGATTTCCAATTCTCTAAGCATTTCCCACAGGAGCCTCTCACCTATCTCCCATAATGACAGGCCTTTGCATTTCCAGGCAGTGTTTTACATTTATTTCCGATTTGCTCATAATGGTCAAAAATCTCTCTCCAATCCAAGGCATTTCTCCTGCAGTGCATGGTTTCCCTCAGGCCAAATAGCTCAGCTGTGATCCACGGAAAATGAGAATTTCCCAAACACATCTTCGGACTACGGGAGGGTCCAGCGTCACAAATTCAGATGGAAAATTTCCCACTGTTAGATCAATATCTGGGCTAAGAAATAAATGCCACAAGGGGTAGAGAGCTGGAGCAAAATGATTACGATCGGCACAATTACATGCACCGGCAGAATCAGCCTGCTGATTACTCCTTGGGATGGGGAGCTCCTGCTTCATCCACTGCAGGATGACTTGGGAATGAGAACGTCACTCAGCATTTCATAAATTGACAGATCTGCCTGTTTCTTGGCATGAGTTCATTTTCCCCATACAGTACATTCTGTAAGAGTTCTTATTTCAGGGAAGGAAGAAAGGAAGGAAGGAAGGAAGGAAGGAAGGAAGGAAGGAAAGGAGAAAGGGAAAGGAACTAAATCTCAGAGCATATGAGAGTCCAAGGCTGGTCTCTTGCACACAGGGTTAGGATATGATGCTCTGGAATTTCCCAGCCAGGGATCTGACAATATGACCGCTGAGGTGAGGGTTAAGCCAGGTTTTCCCCAGAATTCTACCTAGCCACAACCTCATCGGGTAAAAAGAGTTCAAGACATACACTTGGGTGACTTCTTATTTATCCTGTTGACCAAGAAGTTTAGTAGGCAAGTTTTCATTACCTGAGAACCAATCTGAAGTTCTTTTGGGAGGCCACAGGAAAAAAGACTGTCTGTTGGCTAGTGGTGATTTCTCCAGCATCCTTCCTCTGCTGAGCTTTAAAGAGGCAGAGGCATTCATTGCTTCTCACCAGTGGTGAATGCTGGGTAGGCGGGGGCCATGGCAAATGAATTGGGCACGCTGCGTGCCTCTGTGTACTGACACCAGCCCCGGGGCCCGCTGTGTCCCTCCCCCCTCCCAATCTTCTCTTTAATCCCCCCAACCAGATAATGTGGGATTTGGAAGCATGTAATATCCATGAGACTCCATTATAGGCTATTACGAGCTTTATATGCAGTACCTGCGGGATGTACCAGGCTGATGCTGGCGACTACGGCTGCTGAAACTAAGAGGGATGACAGAAATGGTTCCAAGGGCCAAAGTGACCCTTCCATTGTTTAGATCAGTTTCTATAAAAAGGGAGCTCCGGTCTCTTGTGACAGAGAGACAGAAAGCATTAAAGAGAAACAGCTTTCACTCCCTTATGGAGTAAGAAGCATAGAGAGAAGTATACGAATCGTAGAATCACTGAATTAATTGCTGGAACCCTAAGAGACCATCTACTTGTGTTTCTGCATGAGGGTTCTATTGGCATTTGGATGGGATCTTCCGAGCATTTCAGGTTTCGCATCCCCAGTCCCTGCCCACTAAATGTGAATGGCAACTCCCAGGCATTGTGACAACTAAAAAAAAATGGTCCACGCCATTTCCACATGCCCCTGGGTCAGAGATGGTGCCACCTTAGTGTGGAACCACCCATAGTCCAACAGACGTGTTCAGAGGGGGAGCCTGGGGCTTGGAGCAATGAGCAACCACAGCAAGGTCGCAGAAGGAATGCCAAGACTGGACCCAGAGCCAGATCTCCCAATTTAAGACCCTTTCCACAAAACAGGCAGAAAGGGACAAAACATTACATGGCAAGAAAAGGGACAGGGAAAAGAAACAGCAGGGGGCAAGGTGGTGGGGGGGAAGAGAGTAAAGAATAAAGATGAAAATACTGAATGGAGTCAGAGGACAGGAGGAAGGGGGAGAAATCATACCAGACTCATTGAATACCTACCACTTTCTAGATATGGTGATAAAAGAGGCCTTAGGATCTCTGCGCTCAAGGGCAGGATGGTTCCAGAGGAAAGGGATGCAGGAGAAGCAAACCTATACAGAGAGAGCCAAGGGCAGACTTGGGCATGGGCTGGACACCAGCTCAATAATACTGGGACCCTTATGACCGAATCGAGATGACGCCTATTTTTTGAATGTGAGGCTGGGACACTCCCTGATGCCTGGCCCTGGGAACCTTGCTGAAGAATGAGAGAGAGTAACCGCACCCCCTTCCGCCCCCCGCCACCCATTTTTTATTTAAACAGGCAGACTGGACTACTGTTGTTGGGAATGAAGGAGAATCCAGAATTCAAGACAATCCAGGCTACGCTGTCTAGGCAGCGGGTAGAACACCAGCGTCTTTCATCTGAGGAACTGAAGCAACGTTTCCCCAATATTCGGTTGGCCAGGGGAGAAGTGGGGCTCTTGGACAAGTCCGGAGGAGTTCTCTATGCAGACAAGGCCCTCAGAGTCCTCCAGGTGATATGGTGCAGTTTGGGGCAATGCGGCTCCTTGTCTGGGAATCCTGGGTCCCAATCAGCCATGCCCTGACCCCCCTGTGGGATGAGGGATTTTGCATGCTGACTTTAGTCTTGACCTTTGGGCAGGGCAGTTTTATATACCCTGCTAGGCCTTGTCAATACGGGAGAGGAGGTCTCGATTGGGCCCTAAGTGAAGAACTCTTTGTCCATCTGGGTGAACTACATACATACCATTTACCCTTCCCTGCTCCTCCCTTTTTAGGATGCAATTCGAAAGCTCGGTGGCATAGTGCATGATGGAGAGAAGGTGATGGAGATAAAACCAGGGCTACCAGTCTTGGTGAAAACCACCTCCAAGAGCTACCAAGCCAAGAACTTGATCATCACAGCAGGTCCTTGGACCAACCAGCTTCTCCGTCCCCTGGGAATTGAGCTGCCTCTCCAGGTAAGGGAAGCTGGGAGCTGGAAAAAAAACCTTGGAGTCAGATGGACTCCAGTTTGGGTCCTGGATCTGCCACTTGCTAGTGGACAACTTTGGGCAAATTCGTTCACCTCACTGAGCCTCAGTTTTATAACCTGTAAAATGGGGAGTAGGGCTGTTGGAGAATTAAATTTTATATATATATATATATATATATATATATATATATATATATATATATATGAAACCCTAAGGTGATGGCTTAGCCTATAGTAAGCACTCAGTAAGTGTGAGATTTTCTTAGCTCTTGGAGAGAAAGAAGAAAGGCTGAGTGCAGTTATGGGAGAGGACTAAGAATGGGGAAAGAAACAGAGATTCAGAGATTTTTGTGCACCATGACATAATGTAACATGTAAATGACATGAAAATTGGGTGGAAAAAAAGGTGGATGAGTTAAGCAGGGCATCCGGGCTTGTATGGAAGGGCTATAGGACCCCAGAAGAAACTGCTCTCATTGTGTTTAGAGTTCCGTGACTTTCACCCTTCGTTTCCCACTTCCTCTCCCTGCTTCAAGACCCTGCGGATCAACGTGTGTTACTGGAAAGAGAAGGTTCCTGGAAGCTACAGTGTGTCTCAGGCCTTTCCGTGCTTCCTGGGCCTGGGCCTCAACCTAGCTCCCCACCACATCTATGGTCTGCCCTCCAGAGAGTACCCAGGGCTGATGAAGGTAAGTGAAAGGCTGAGAGAAGGCTAGTAGGGGCCCACACAGACTTGGGGCAGCTGCTCTCACTTCCCTCCACAGACACCCTCAGACCCCAGTGAACAGTCAACAGGAGTCTACTTCACTATTCGCTACTTGCAGTGCAAGACCCCCAGCTGTCCTGAGGCCGGGGGAAAAGGGAGCCCTTCCTTTGCAAAGAGAGGGTTGGCCGGGGACCTGACAGCTAGGCAACCTCACGTGGCAACAAGCAGCCTCAGTCAAGACTGGGGAAGGCTGGGGTGATGGGTGGGGGGCATTCTGTGTATAAGCCTGCCCTGGGTTGTGGGTGGGTGTGGGGGAAGGCCAACTCTCACAGCTTACACTGCTCTGATTGGGAGAAAGGTCTGCTATCACCACGGCAACAATGCAGAGCCTGAGGAGCGGGACTGCCCCACAGCATCCTCAGACATCCAAGACATCCAAATCCTGAGCCGCTTTGTCAGAGATCACTTACCTGACCTACACCCTGAGCCTGCCATCACGGAACACTGCATGTACACGGTAAAGGTTGTGGGCAGCCGGGCCAGGCCCTCTCACAGCCCTGGAGAACAAGGGAAAGAGACAGACAGGCCTTGCGCTGCTCAGGCCCGACTCTATTTGGCCCCTGACATAGCATGAGGCTTGAAACAAACGAGTTCATTTCTGTGGGTTGGTTCACCTCTACCACAAACGGCCCATTAGATGTCATTCATATTCCTTTTCATTAGGAAACTAGGCTTATGCCTGGCCGTCCTTCACTATGTTTCCCAGAAGGGCTCTAAGAGATTTTTTGGCAAGGCATTCTAGTTGAGCAGGCCTTAGGGACAAAGAGAAGAGACAGATGTCACCAGGGCCTGAGGCATCTTGGCTAAGTCAGTTTGCACGCATTAACTGAGCACCTACTGTGTTCATAGCTCTGTGCAAGAAGAGAGGCAGATGGACAAATGAGAAAGGCTGGCACCCCCAAAGGAGGCACTGGCATGCAGAGAGCATTCCTGGGCCACGCTCCCATTCTTTCTGGAAAGACATCCAGCTGAGTCCCCTCCCTTCTGAGTCTGCACGCAGTTTTTCCTCCTCCCTCTAACCTCCAATGACATAAGTGTGATTGTTTCTTTCTAGAACACCCCTGATGAGCACTTCATTCTTGATCGACACCCAAAGTACGACAACATTGTCATTGGTGCTGGATTCTCTGGTGAGCCTGAGGAGGGGGAGTTGGGGTGCCTTAAAGCCAACCTACCTCAGTGCCAGGCAAAGCAGTGTTTTCCAGCTCTTAGCTGGCCAGACTGGGGGCGGGGAGGCAAAGCCTAGACACTGAGTGTATAAGGGTCTGGGCAGGGCAATCAGAGAAGAAGGGGTACTTATAGTGGGAATCAACTTCTGGCTTATGACCAAGAGAATTAATCCTATCTGGGGGCTAGGTAGGGGACTTCCTGAGAAGTCCCTGGGACGCCCCTGTTTCTGAGGATGCTTGACAACCTGCTTTCCTTTCTCTAGGGCATGGATTCAAACTGTCTCCTGTTGTGGGCAAGATCCTGTATGAACTAAGCATGAAATTAACAACACACTATGACTTGACACCTTTTCGTATCAGCCGCTTCCCTGGCTTGGGAAAAGCTCACCTTTGACCCCTGGCTAACAGCCACCCTTCTGTACACAAGAGCTAGGAATAAAGTCCTCTGCTGGGAAAGGCTTCTCAGATGAAGAAAGTGACTATGGGATATTATCTTTTTCTCCTGCTGTCTTGAGCCCCCAGTAAACACCAGATGATTGAATCTACCTTATTTTCCTGGCCAGCTCCCCAGTCAGTCCCACGACTTTTATTTTGTGTCCAGAAAGTTAATCAGATATTCTATAATCACAGAGTAGCAAGGACCTTTGAGATGGACATCTTAATGAGGAGGGGGCATAAGGACTGGCTCAGGAGACCAAAGCAGTTGTTAAAATTCTCTTCTCTGGGATATTTGATGAGCTTGGGATGGAATTGACTAAAGCTGCCCAGGGGAGGGTAAACAAGATGATTTGTAGATGACCTCTGTCCTTAGCGTTCCTTTTCCTAAAACTAGTTCCTTCCCCCCCCACCCCCGTCACAAACTCCCATAAAATTTAGCTCATCTTGGGTGCACAATAAATGTTTTTTGAAAAAAAAATGTGTTGAATAAACAAACAAATAATGGCATTGCATCAAAGTCTGTAGTGGCTTTATTTTCCATGTGACCTGATTTCTTACAGACTCTAATTGTCTAAATCAGCACCACAGGATCCATTATCCTAGGAATTCTTGGGGGTCTTTATCCCCTGGATGCACTGCACCCTCTTTCTCTGGATTCTTTTTCTGGTTCTCATCCTCTCTCTGGTTCTGTAATGATGCTCAGTTCCCCAGTCTCTCATTAAGGTGTATTGTCAGGTCCTTATGAAGATGGAGCTGTTATACCAGAAAGAAAGAGAGACACACTCTCTTAGAAGCCCTGTTCAATGTTTGAATGTTAAATGTGCCATTTTATTATCATTAGGATTGCTCCCACTTAATGAAACGGCATTAGCACCGAGTCGGCTGGCCTCCTTGCACTAATTGCTTTGAAAGGGAACAGGCTCATAACTACCCCAGGGTGGGAGGAGGGGTGAGGGGTGCAAGCAGGGACTCAAGCAAGGCTTAATGCACTCAGATGAAACCCAAGCAGGAGGATCTCCAGACCACGCCAGTTTGACCCCCAAAAAAGGAGTTCAAGTGCTCTGGGGAGGGAAAAACTGGGACTGGAGGGAGGGTGGTGGTGGCAGTGGAAATGTTAGGAGACACTGAGCGGGGAAGAGTGGGAAGTGGGAATAAGAATAAAAATAGTCCCAAGGGAAATAAAACACAGAGGAAATTACTCTTCAACTGCTGTGCCTATAAGGCCTAGGCACATGGATTATCACTGATTTCTCCAGGGAATGATAAAAGCCAGCCTAAATCCCATCCTTATGCCAAGTCTGCTTTTTAGGTGTTCTCAGATGGGTCCCTGAAACTCACCCTCTGTAAAATGGGAATAATAATAATAATAATAATAATAATATCTGTAAAATGGGTATAATACTACAACATGGATGAACCTTGAGGACATGATGCTAAGTGAAATAAGCCAGACACAAAAGAACAAATATTGTATTCACAGAATCAGAAAGTAGAACAGTTGTTTCCAGGGGCTGGGGGAGGGGGAAATGCGGAGTTAGTGTTTAATGAACACAGAGTTTCAGTTTGGGAAGATAAAAAGATTCTGGAGATAGATGGTGATGATGCTTTCCCAACATCATGGTTTAACACATCAGAAACAACAACATGGTTTAGGTGAATGTACTTAATGTCACTGAACTGTACACTTAAAAATAATTAAAATGGTACTTTTGTTTTGTTTTTTGTTTCTGTTGAAGAACAGTGTGTTTTTCCAGGACACATCAGCTCCAAGTCAAGTCATTGTTTCAATCTAGTTGTGGAGGGCGCAGCTTAGTGGCCCATGTGGGGATCGAACCCACAACCTTGGTGTTATGAGCACTGTGCTCTAACCAACTGAGCTAACCGGCCGCCCCCAAAATGGCACATTTTATGTTATGTATTTTTTATCACAATAAAAAAAAACGGAAATAATAATGTTGACCAACTCTCTAAGAGTATGTGAGGATCCAATATGATCATTCATTCATTTATTCATTCAACACGCAAATATTTATTGAGCTTCTGCTGTGTGTGCCAGGCACTGTGAATGTATCCGTGAACAAAACAGATGGAAATCTCTGCTCTTGTGGCATTAACAGCCCAGTGAAGAGAAGACATGTAAATGATATGTGTAAGTAAATTATATATCGTACTTTAGAAGGTGACAAGTGTGCTGGGGAAAAACAGATCAGGGTGAGTGAGGAAGATAGAGAATGTGGGGGGAGGGGTTGCCCTTTTCTTTTTTCTTTTTTTTTTTTTTTAAAGATTTTTATTGGGGAATTGGGGGGATGGTAACAGCACTGGGGAACTGGGGAAAGGGGAACAGACAAGTCGCTGCCGCTTCGCTCCTCAATCCAGCTGTGGAGGACGTTGCCCCACTGGCCCAAGTTGGCACCATCATTGCGCTCCTCTCTGGCGAGGCACATCAGTCGCCGGCCTCTGGACGGCCGCCCACCGCGGCTGCTGGCCGCTCACGCTGGCCGCTGACCACACACGGTAGCCCATGGCAACCCACCGCCACAGGGACCGCAGCCCACGCCGTCGCCGGCGACCCACGGCAGCCCAGCTCCAGGCCGAGCTGCCGCTCAGCATCCTAGCTGTAGAGGGCAGCGTCACTGGCCCTCATATGTGGGATCCGAACCGGGGCCCTCCGGCATCCCAAGCGAGCTCTTAACCATCGCGCCACTCGGCCGGCCCGGGTTGCCCTTTTCAATGGCGGTCACGATAGGGCTCATCAAGGAGGGGGCATTTGAGCAGACGTAGAGGAGGGAGTGTACTGTGCAGGTACCTGAATATACGTGAGAAAATGTAGTAAATGGTAAAGCAAGGTATTGTGTGCGTGAGAGAGAAAAACGAGGTACAGAGAGGGATCAGTGTAAGATCCTGCCAGCCCCTGAGTCGGGGAGAAAAGGTGCTGGGAACCTCTTCCTCTCATTCCATGGCTGCCCTCAGCTCCCTCTGCCTCTGCTTCTCTCCATGCCACCCTCCTCCCCCAGCCAGCTGCAGCTCCCCTTCCAAAATATCCAGTCTAATTCAGCTTGCTGGTGACAACTAAAGGAGGGGACCAATGTCTAGAGGAGGCTGAGAAAGGACACGTGGAAGATGCTGACAAGCCTCCCCTGCCTGAGCTGGCTGAGGCCCTTTACAAATGAACTGCTATGTCCTAGTAAAAGAGCATGAGGAGGGGCAGGGGCATGCAGGGTAGGATGCGTACGAGTGGGAGGGGTGAGGTCAGGGAAGAGTGGAGAGAAGCAGAAATTGGATAAGAAGAGACTGGCAATGTGCCGGCCACGAAGGCAGGCAAAGACCTCCAGGAATGCTGCACATCCCCAAAACCAAAGAGAACAGGTCCGAAATGCCCTAGTGGGGGAACTGAGCATTTCTTATTGGGGGTGGGGGTGGGTCACAGAGGGGAAGAGAAACTATAGGGAACCAAATCTATGGGCATAGAAAAGAAGACAAGCTATCGCAGAAGGGGCCGGAGGACACCTTGAAGGGTTTCGTAACACTGAAGGATTTGCCCAAACAGACCCGCCAGCATTATTTCCCTGCTTTCCTTCTGCTTGAGTGTGGCCAGGCATCCCCTTTTCAGGCAGACCCGACGTATCTTCAAGATGGAGGGAAATAAAAATAAATCGGCCAGGCAATGAGACCTCGGGAAGGGCAGCTGGGGTCTGCACGGGCTGCAGGGTAGAGATAAGGGCAGTGAAGAAAAAGAGGCCGACATGGTTGCCAACCAGACTAGGGAAAACAGAGGCAGGCTAAAAATAGATTGGGGTAGGGAGGGAGGAGAGCCGGTCCAGAAAAGAAGGGAAAGCAGAGGCAATCGATGCCGTGGCGCCTCTGACCCAATTCTTCATCTCTCAGCTTTACCAAGCTGAAAAAACTAGGGGTGATGGGGAAAAAGGGAAAGATTGGTACAAAGAGAGGAGAGTCAGGGGAAAGTAATATGAGTCCTAAGACCGAAGCCATTGTGGGGTACAGATCAGTAATCGTGCTGTGGAAAACAGGGGGCCTATAGTAGAGTCAGTGCTAGTTAAACCCTCCCAAGAATTTGGCATCCTAGAACAGGTTTGAGAGCTTGAAGAGTGTGAGTCAACGTGGAGGGTGTTTCAACGGTCTGGAAAGGCAGAAGGAAGTCAACAAGGATGATTTAGTCTGGAGACTGGTAGGCTGGAGCATGACTTAATGCTTGCATTTGACTTCTCAGAAAATTGATTAAAGAGAGTTCGGTTAGTGGATTTTTCTATTTCAATGGTGGGTTCCCAGTGTAGCTAGAGGGGTTTGGGTTAGACCTCAGGAAATCCATCCCACGAAATATTAATAGATGTGTGAGACATTGAAACCTGTATGTAAGCACTGTTATGGTGGTATTCTTTCCTTGGAAATCTTTAAAAATGAGAAGCCCATTATGTGGGCCTATATAGGCTTGCCTGAAGGCCAGGGCCTCCCCATAAGCCTTCGAAAGGCTTCTAGCTAGAGAGGAGATGGAGGATTTTTATTACCCTGGAGGTAGGGCCTGAAATGGGTAGCTGGGCCCGGGCCTCTGGCAGAGTGAATGAAAGCACCTGGGGATGGGCGAGAAGGGGAGGTACACAGCGGGCAGGGAGAAGCAACAGGGACAGGGGGCAGGATTCTAACACGCAGGGCCCAGTGGCATTTACATAACTTTGAATAATGAATAAGTCCAGCTCTGGGGCTCTTAGTCAGCATGCTCATCTGCATCTTTATTAAGCTTTATAAATGATTCAGCTCCCTACCTCTTCCCCCTAGCTCTTGCCCAGCCTGCCCCAAGCATCAGGGTAGTTGATTGCTCATTATTTTAGACTAGATTTGTTTCACCAACATTCAGTGAGGCGTGGAGTGGCGGGGTACAGGAGGGAGGAGCAAACCCGAAGTAGAGGGGTAGGGGAGTGAATAGAAGCAGCAGCCATGGGAAGGTAGGCAGCCCGCTGTGAGCTAGGGACTCAGGTATAATTCTCTAGAATGCTCCTGGGGCCAACATTCTCGGGAGGGAAAGGTTTCTTAGATTCCCCGAAGTGTGCTGGGTTCAAGTCGTACTCCATCCCCGGTTTCCCGTACATTTGCAGACAAGCCGCCAGCAGGCCCCTCGCTCAGCTCCAGCGCAGCGCTGAGCCACTGGAGCAGCCAAATGAGTACAGCCCCCAGGGAAATTCTCATTTTTTCCTGAGGTAGGAATTTTACTATTTTCACACAAAAGGAAAGAAAAAAATCTGCTACGCTTGCAAGGCAAGAATAGGCACCAGGCATATTAAGGGAGAAAGAGAGGAACAGGTACACATGTGAATTTGTAGGGAAAAGGAATGCTTGTAGTCACAGAGAGTTACAGCCCACCCTGAAAGAGAAGCCTGGAGAACAGGGCAGCCCTCTGCTCGTCCAGGTAGGCATGCTAGTGCCAACTGCTCTAGGAGCAGCCTGGCCTACTGTAGAGGCAGGGAGAGGTATTTAACAACCTGGACGA